GGTTTTCTTGGTTTCATTTTGCGCGGAGCTTTTTTACTTAGAAAACAAAACACGTTTGTTTTGACGGCTGATCTTAAATTTTGATTGGTCAAAATTACTGGGGATGAACAATTTTTTGTGGGAACGCTATGGAAACTTGGTCTGCAAAATCACGTGAGCACCTCAACTTAGTCGTTCCTCACGTTGATTGCATCTCAGAATAATTAATATAAAATAACATGCCACCCTAATTTTTTAAGGCAATGGCATGCCAGGGGTAGCATGCCAGTAGTCACCATGCCAGGTTCCCTACTGTCGGGTGAAAATAGAAATTCCCATACATTAAATATAAATAGTACTGTATTATATTATTTATTTTACTTTATAAATTCATTAACCATTATCTATTATCCAAAAACATTAAATCCAAGTTTGAAAAAACCAAATATACATTAAATTAGCATGTGACCCATTTACAGATCATTGTTTAACTAACTGAACAACATCTTCGTCAGCAAGTATGTGAGTCAATCCAACCTTCTGGGGTTGATGTTTAGCGGAACTACCCCATACCAAAGCACTAAAAGTAGAACAAAAAAAATATCAAATAACGAAAGTGAAGTAAAATTGCATGTACGAATTATGAAAGAAATAGCTTACTATTTGAATTGTTTAACAATCCCTCTATGAATACTATTACAAAAATCTTCAACAGTACGAAGGTTTGATCGTAAAACAACTGGTGCACTATAATCAGGAAGTTGACCCTTCGGTTTTGTGTAGCTAAAGTATAATATAATGAAGTTAAAGAAGATTCTTTTTTTTTTTTTTTATCAGAATTTGAAATTTCGAAATTATTCGAACTCACATTCTGAGAAGATTAAGATATTCCCACATCTTTTCCAATAGTTCATCAAAATTCCATTCCTAGAATCAATTGTGAGGCATTAGATTGTTGGTTGTATAACTAAAATTAATTTAAAAAAAGTCATGCGATGTGAAAGAAACATTACGTGATGAGCAGAAATAGGAACCGCATGTGGAATTTTATAAATTAAGTCTAATTCTTCTATACTTATTTGATCGATCTGAAGAAATAAATCGAGTATTAAAATAAATAAAATTCTAATAAATTTATTAATACGATACACATTAATTGAAATACCTTGTTAAGGACATATATTGCGGGTATGTAAATACGTCCTTCAATAACATCGATCAAATCGTCGACGGTAGCATCACACTTGAAGTTGACATCAGCATTATGAATTTTGTACTCACTTAACACTGCTTTGACCTGATCCAAATCTAAATAAGTTAATGGAACAGTGTTCGTCATGTTGATGCCTCCTTTATCCTTTTTTTTAAAATAAATATTTGGAGGTTTCTTATTTAACCTGATGCCAAATCCCTCCAATTCAGTTTCAATAATTTTTTTATGAGTAAGAGGTTTCAAAACATCAAGTACTAGAAAGATGAGAGAACAAGTACGGGCCACCGCAATGACTTGTCTACCACGACCTCTACCATCCTTCGCACCTTCAACAATACCGGGTAGGTCAAGAATTTGAATTTTAGCACCTTTATATTGAAGCACGCCCGGTACAGTAGTCAAGGTAGTGAATTCATACGCAGCAACGGCCGAAAAAGTGCCAGTCAACCTTGACATTAACGTCGACTTTCCTACTGACGGAAATCCTATAAAATGAAAATTAGACTAAACATTGATACCATTATATCATAAGTTGAAAAAAATCAATAATTTTAGAAAGCTCGTACCAACAAAACCGATACGAGCAACACCAGTTTTCGCAACATCAAAACCAACTGAATGAATTATATTAATTATTTAGTAACGAACTTTGTAAATTAACAGATCTCAAACCAAATGGTGAGAAAACATACCACCGCTGCCACCACCACCACTTCCACTAGAGGGAGTTATTAATTCTTTACGTAATTTTGCCAATTTAGCTTTTAAAGTTCCTAAGTGGTATGATGTAGCTTTGTTCTTTTGCGTACGAGCCATTTCGGCTTCAACTGTCAGGAAGTAAAAAAGCATCATTAGCGTTGATCCAAGCTTATCAACGGTGATCGAAAATACGGTACGCAAAGTAGCGATGCCCAACTTTCTTTTATCTTATCAACAATAGAAGCCATTTTTCAGGTTATTAATCTGAAATGAGACGAGAGAAAAGTATTTCTGAAGTTATGTGGTATAAATCGAAATATCGAGATTTCAGATGAAATTTACCAGTTCAGCATCACCAAAAATTTATAATAGGTTGTACAGAATTCAGAATTTCTAGAAAATTCTATTAAAAATCCCGTAAATTGATTTCGCGTATACGATGTTACAAACTCTAACTTGCCAATATACGTTTGAATATTAAAACTAAAGGTTTCGGCTACAACTTGTGAATCCTTAAATCGATTGGTTTTAGATTTTGGAATTAGAGATTTATTTATCAATCGGTCAAGATTATAGGTGTAGCCCAAACTACTTGGGACGTCCCAAGCGAAATTATAATCTTTTATAGTTACGTGACGATGAGGTGAAGTTTTCATGATAACCACCTAAACAAAATTCGATCAAAATTTTATTTAATTTTACATATTTTTATCAGAAAAAATTTTGCACAATCTTGAAAAATTTAACAATTACTTTGATAGGCAAATCAGAGGCTTTTTTAAACTTTTAGCAAACCTTTCTCTACATCATTCATTGGTACTTCGCCCGAATTTGAGTTGGCCTTGTACACCATGCTATTCCTGCTTAAACATCAAGACACTCATTTAACATTGGATGATGCTAATTTGAATATTAAAATTTATCCATTCGATCAAGATGGAGTTAGATTTATTGGATCAGCATTTCCAATGATTCTTGATCCAACCCATTAATTATTTATTTTATTGGTTTATTATTTTCTTTCGAAATTTTAAGAATTTAGCCTCTGTATTTCTTTTTTTATCATTAAATTCATAACAAGGTATATCAATACACAGTGTCCGCATTGGACATATGTCCAACTATTTTTAATGCTATTGTACTGAATTGGAACTACTCCAGAATCGCTAAGATGCAACAAATAGTAAATCACGATAATTGTTGTCTTCAAAAAATTTGTATAAGAAACCACCTTTCAACTTTCATTTACTAACAAATACTATACAAACGGCTAATTTCTAATCCTAACATAAACTACAAAGAATTTTTTAATTATCACGTGAGAATGAAATTTTAAAACTGGTCATTGAACATATAAATTGACTCAAACTTTCATCTTATCGATTTGCCCCTATAAAAAAAGTCGATCAGTGTTTTATATTTCGTGTTTGGTATATTCACGGAATTTATAACCTTAAATCATGGAGGTGATTCGGCTTGCCTAGATTTTGCAAATCATGGAGATTATTCGGCTTGCCTAGATTTTGTCGATCATCACGAAATAACGGAAAAATTTTTTACAAGGTGCAAAGGTAACATACGTATGTACGTACGGTGCGGGAAATTTAAAAACCACAATCAATTTATATAGAATAAAGGTCAATTAACTCATGGGGAAGTGATCTAAATATGACATTCTTAATAGCGGCTTATTTCAGTATGCAAATAATAGTTACTCATAAGTACATATTATTATTCTTTGGCATGCAAAGAAATTCTAGACCATTTATTTAGATCGATAATTTAAGAAATTTATTTAGATCGATAATTTAATTAAGAAATTTATTTTCAATGTCACTTATTTCTATATAAGGAGATTGAGATTTTTTTAAATTTCTTGCACCGTACGTACGTACAGTATTGATAAAATTTACCAACAACCATTCCACCAACAACCATTTTGCCAACAATCTCCAACCAATACTAACTATAAACGGGCCAACCTTAACTAAATCAGGTTAAAATTTGTCAGTGAAATGACTATTGCAAAATTGATTTATATCAGATACAAGCATGATCTCAAAAAAACCACCCAAATTATACCCGCTTCTCAGTGTTTCACATTTTCAGGCTTTGTTGACAACTGTTTACAAAGGCAGGACTGAGAATAGTATTTATCTTGGATCTTCCTATAACATTTTTCTGTAGTTCAGTTTTTTGTTATATTGACCAGGGGATTGTTGAAAAGAGTTAATATATGGGAACCCCCACAGCAAAAGGGTACAATGGGCCAAAAATTTTAAATTTGTAATTTTATAAAAATTGGAAACTGATTGTTCTAATTCTTCAAAAAGTTGAGTTTAAAAAAAAAAATTTTTTTGGCCCATTGCACC